GGGACTGCTGACAAGAAAGGGGATCCATAAAAGGTGGAGAGCATCAGACTAGGGCAGGCTCTGCTGAAAAGAGCTAATACAGTAAGAGTTCCTGTTTTGGAACTTGCTACTTGCCCAGTACACATATCAACAACACACTGACGCAATCCCGTACCAAAATCCTGCCTGCTCTACCTTCAAAACACATCCCAGTATCTCCCACTTCTCACCTGCCCCAGAGTCTTGATTCTTCTCTGCGGTGTTCCTGCAGCCTCCCAACCGAACTGAACCTGCCCCACGCTGCTCCTTTGCTCCTCGGGCTCTGCAGACTGTTCTCCACCCAGCACCCAGAATAATTCATTTAATCACTCCAGGCATCACGCTTTCACTCCTGTGAAAAACCCTCCAAACCTTTCCATGTTGCTGGGAGTGAAAACGTCACAGTTTTTAAAGGGCCCACAAAATGTCATCTCTAGGATCCAGTCCTGGCTGCTTTTACAACTTCACTTCCTAATACCTTCCGGTAAAATTATCTCCTTGAAGTTCCTTAAATGCTTGGAGCCTTTCCCAGAGCTTTGCTGCCATCCCCTCGGCCTGGGTTACTGGGTTACTAGCCTGCTCCCTCGCTTTCTTAAGTCTACACTGCCGCCCTTTTAAAGAGACCCTCTCCTGCCCACAGTATACAAAATGCTAACCACTGAAGAGAGGCCAAATGAAATGTCATACTTCCACCCCATGGGGCACCAGGCAGCTGTGCAAAAGGAATGAAGGTGATTTCTATGAAGTGACAGAGAATGATTTTTCAGACACATGGTTAATTGACAAAAGCAAGGTACAAAAGAGTATATAGTGTATGTTACCTGCTGTTTAAGAAAAGGACTTAGAAATAAATATATGTATCAGTTTATATTAGCAAACAAAAACAAGGAAGACAAAACAGAAACAAGTTATATGCTAGGGGGGAGTGGAGGGAGACAACAGGACTTCACTGATCATATCTTTTTATATAGCTGTTATTCGAACGTTAGTATATTACATATTTAAAAATTAAAGCGAGGGGAAAAACCTGAAGTTGAATAAACAAACCTATTAATGCAACTATATACAAATTGATAACATAATCATACAGAAGGAAAAAAAAAGGTTGACTCAAGTAATATTAAAATCCAGCATTCTGTACATATCCAGTGGGAAAAATAGAAAGGACAGCAAGGAAATCTTGAACTGTATTTAGTAACATTTGTGCTTGGTAGTGGTAATGGTATAGCAATTATGAAGCTATTTTGTGTTTAACATGAATCAGGAAAATATACTGATGCTACTAAACTTCAGTACATTTCCACACAAATTAGGAAAATATGCTGACGCTAATAAGCCTCAGTGTATTTTCACGGTGGAGAAGCAAGATGCACAGGTGGAAGGGAGGAGAAGGAAGAAGAATCGAATGACTGGATTAGCCTCAGCCGTAACACAATGCACCCATGACTCTGGGTAAACTCTGTTTCCGAGCTCTGGCAACAGGAGGGCCTGGAACCACGAGTTCAGCACCTTGAGCACACCTAGCACTCAGGGCGTTTCCGAATACCACCCCCACTAAAAGGAACAAGGAAATCTCCGAATCCAAGGGCGAGGCAGGAAAGGTAGGAAAGGAGCCCAGAACTTCTTTCTGTGCCAGAAAAAAAGAAGTGCTCAAAAATTCTCAGAAACATGGCAAAAGGGAGCTAAAGCCTGTAGGGGATCCCACTTGCAAATTTGGGATCACTGAACATCAGAATGGACAACGCAGGATACTGCCTTAGAAAACATCCGTGAGTCCAGACTAATAATAAACCAATGAAATGAAAAAGGGAGGCGCTGAAGTTCTTCATTACTGAAGAATGTCAACAATGTACCCCGGCTGGTGTAGCTCAGTGGATTGAGCACAGGCCTGCAAAGCAAAGGGTCACCGGATCGATTCCCAGTCAGGGCACATGCCTGGGTTGTGGGCCGGGTCCCCCAGTAAGGGACACATGAGAGGCAACCACACGTTGATGTTTCTCTCCCTCTTTTTCTCCCTCCCTTCCCTTCTCTCTAAAAATAAAGTAAATCTTTAAAAATTGTCAATAATCTATAATGGGCATAGAAAGTTGCCATCTACAAATAATGATATAGGGCTCAGGGGAACAGGATAATCACACCATCTCAAAGTGTCACCTAATAAATCATGTACTGCTTACAAAGGGGGAAAGGTGCCTCTACAATAAAGAAAGCTGATGAAACTCACCTGAGCCAAATAACCGATGCTAACATCTCCAGTAATGACACAACTGGGCTGCTTCCGCCACCCACAAGATGCACTAGAAGAAACTCCTGTCCCAGAAAGTGTCCAATCATAGACACAAGGAAACAGACAATCCAAATCGAGAGACATTGTATCAAACAACAGATCCTTCAAAACCGTTGATGTCACAAAATACACACACACAAAGTTAACAAGTTTTAGGTTAAAGGGGATTAAAGAGGCATGACTTCCAAAGGCTTCTGGGTGCTATGACTAGACAAGGGTCTTCCTAGAAGACACATGATGAAATATTTGGAGGAGCTGCAACCCTCAAATGGTTTAGCATAAACAAATGTTAAGTATATGCATGTAGGTACAAAAAAAGAGAAGTGAACCAAATGTGACAAAATGTTCACCGTACTATTTTTGGCAGCTCTTCTAAACATTTACAATGTTCCCAAGTTTTTAACACTTAAAAGGAAATCTTAACCACTTCCCCTCCCCTTTCTTCTGCATCACCAGTCGGTAAATGAACTCCATATGCACACAGTTACTCATTCAGTGACTTACTGTCTTCCCCACCTTAACATAACCTTCCCAAAGGCAGGGAGGAGTCTGCTCCGAGCTGCATCCTCAGGCCCTTGTACAGTGTCTGACCCAGAGCTGACCCTCAAGTATTTATTGAATGACTGATGTTCATAATTATTCTATGAAGTAGATACGGTTATTATCCTTTCTCTCACATGAGTGGTTCTCCCTCTCTCTCTCTTCAAAGGCAAAGATACTGAGGCATGAGGCACACGGAAGTGGGGTAACTTTAAAGAAGTTATGACTCCGGTGAGGAGTGGGGCCGGGGTCTGAAGCTAGGCAGACCCCAGGGTCTGACTCCAGAGCTGGTGCAGTCAGTCACCGGCAGGCAGCTCCCCTAGGGAGGCAGGCTCCACCCCAAAGGGCTCCCCTTCTGTGGGGTACACCATCCATTTGGCCTTGTCAGGGCATGGCCTATTCAGAGCAGGTGACATTCATGCTTGCTGAATGACATGACCTCTGAATGAATACGTGAACTAGGTGGCAGATGCCTCTGTGACGGAAGTGTTCAGAGAATCTTGCTGGAGGATATAAGACTTGAGTAAACTGGGTTTTCAGTTCAGGCAACGGTCACCAAAGGTGCGTTCTGGAACTGGGGAGAGATCAGCTCTGTATGGGTCCCTCCCCGTGTCCTGTAGTCCCCAGCCTGTGAAAGCCTCCCAGCTCCTTGTGCCCTGTGATGGTGTCTGCTCTCACTTCCTCTCAACCGCAGTCCCTCCTCTCTGCTCCTGCCAGATTATTCTTACTAAGTGCATGGTTCTGGGCCTGACAGGCTCCAAAAGACTTCTCCTTTGCCTGGAGAAGAAAATCCAAACTCCCAAAGGGGACCTTTAGGGCTCTGTGTGGGGCCTCCAGCTCCAGGGGACACACTTCCTCTGCAGTGACACCAAATGATTCTGTGTTGCCCAATCTCCCCCTGTATACTGTGTGGCCCTTTCTTACCTGCTTTCCTCCTGGAATCTTGCCCCACATCATGGCATGTCCACAAACCACCTGTCCCCAGAGGCCACAGTCAAATGCTCTCCCTTTCAGGAAGTCCGTTTCACAAAAGATATGTGAAGTGAGGCCATCAGCTAAGGACGCTTCTTTGTCCTCTCCCACGGCATGCCCCACGCACATAAAACACATCCCGTGTAACCTCTCTTACAGTCACTTCTATGTCTTAGCAAGGAGGTACTGTGAGCAGAGTTCAGCCCCTCCCCCTGGGCGGTACCCGGGAGAGGAAGGTACTGGTCAGGCACACCGTCAATGCTGAATGCAGAATGGAGATGGAGGGTTGACCTGCTAGGAAGTGCTACGGGGTCCCTGATGGAAAACCCCAAGGCGTACAAAAAAGCTAGTTAAGGGGGTTCTTACTATGCTCCAGGAGTTTGGCTATCATTTAACTAGGGCCCTGTGTGTGGAAGGGTTTATGAGGGTAGGGAGACAAAAATGAGAGCAATGAAACCAATACTATGAGGCTGTTGTGACAATTAGAAGACAGGTGACAGGGATATAAGGTCAGCTCTACACACAAGGTAGTTGTTTTATGCGTTGAAGCAGGAGGAAAGGCGCACCTGCCGCCCTACTGAGGACTCTTTCTGTGAGACCGGTCGCCTACGGACACTTCTTTCCGCCCTCTCCCGGCCCACCTCTGCCAGGCCAGCCCGCCAACGCTGCTGGGACAGGAGCGGCGCTGCTGGGAGAGGAGCGGCGCGCCTCGGCCAAACTAGTCGTTGGGCAGCTGGGTCCGTCTCCCCTGCCCCGGCACAAGTGACTCAGCCTGTAGTCTGAGACAAAGGCACACCCTTCCGGGGAACACTCCGTGGGAAGGGGAGCCGCGATGGGGGGCAGGGGGGCTTAAAAAGAACTCCAGAGAAAGGAAGGAATCTGCGCGGGTTCGGGTGAACGAGCTGGAGTCCTTCCGTCTCCTTCCCAAACGCGATCCCCGCACCTGACAGTCCAAGTTGCTGCCGGCCCACCCCAGGGGGACCTGCAGATGCAGGGACAGCTCTCTCTCCCAGACAAGGTCCGATCGCTGCGCTTCTACGCCCTGTCACTCTTCCCCCAGCCCGAACAGAACTTGCAGTCGCCTCGGGCCACACCCTGCCATCCGGCCCCAAAGTCCTGGGACCTCGGACACCCCAGCGCCCGCCTAGTCCCCGCGGGGACTCCGGGGAAGGCCGCCACTCACCGAACTGGAGCAAGAGGATGGCCAGGTTGACTACCGCTTTTACTGCGGTCCACCGCCACGCCTTGACTTTGCCCATCGCGCCTCGGGAGCGCAAATGCCTGCGGCGCAGCAGCAACCACAGGACCCTCCCGCCAAGACCTACTTCGCCTCGCCCCGCCCCTCCCAGCCCCGCCCCTCTCAGCCCCGCCCCTCTCCTCCCCTTCCCGTCTCGCGCGCCCGCTCATCGCGTCAGTCCAGAACTCGGGCGGAGTTTCCTTTCCCTCCCTCGCGCATGCGCGGCCTGGCGCGTGCGGCCTGGCGCGTGCGCCCTAGCGCTTTCCCTTGGCTTGGGGACCTGACGGAAGCGGTTCTCTAGCTGGGCGCGGGGGCCAGGGGCGGTTCGCTCCCTCAAACCTACTCCCCTCTCTGCTAGGCCTTGAAGGGACAGCAGAACTTCTCCGAAGGGCAGGAAGCTCTGAAGAACTTTATTCCTCCAAGTGCTTTCTAGCAGCCGCCGCCGCGCGGAGCCCACTTTTCCTGCCAGTGACTCTTGGCTAACACGACCCGCAACAAGCAGCCTCTTGAAGCCACGCTTTCCTCAAGTGTTAAAAGGAAACGGGAAATGCCAGACAGCTGCTAGGATGAGTGGGGCTACCGGTGCAGCGCCTTAAACTCCATTCTCTCCTCGTTCAAGTGCATGCCACCGCTTCCTTCAGCCTGACCCTCAATCCCGACACTCCCTTCAGGGGGGCTAGGATTTCGACCCTGTGGCTTCTCCCTTCTCAGGTTCCCTCTTCGCTCTCTCTCTCCACTTCAACTGTGGGTTTCCCTCGGGCTGAGGGGGCAGATCTGTTGGCTCACTGTTAGGCCCGCAAAAATCTCTGCCCCGTGGGCAGAGCAGGCACTTGGAACCCTCCATCCTATTAGTTAGCCTTCTGGTTGACGGTGCCCTCCCCTCAAATCCACCAGATCCCAGAGCAGATCACTCCCAGAGCCAGCTGCTCGCGTCAGCCTCCCTGGCTGCCCCTTTGCTTTGAGACAGAGGCGCCAGAATTGCCCTCGCCCAGGGAGGGAGTCAGAGGAACTCCCAGGAACAGGAACCCTGCTGTCCAGATAAACACCAACGTGCTGCCAGCGGCGAACCCGAGGTGCCTAGCTGTGCTTAGCGTTGCTGGCTTCTCCAACGTGCTCAGGTGGGGCCCCAAAACCACTCAAGACACTTGAATTAGACTGTTAGAATTCATGAATTATTTCTCAGTTTAGCCATATTTAAAAAAAATTATTGACTGATTTTAGAGGCCGGGGGAGAGGGTGGGGAGAGAGAAAGAATGTGGGTTTGTTTACTTGTTGCTCCACTTGCTGACACATTCATTGGCTGATTCTGGTTTGTGCCCTGCCCGGGGAATGGAACCTGCCACCTTGGGGTATGGGGCCTGCGGTCTAACCGAGGGAGCTGCCTGGCCAGGGCCTCAGAGCGTTACATGTGACAGTGAAACTAGTTAGCCAGACGGGTGGCGTGTGCCCTGTCCTGGGCCCTGAGATCACATCCTTTGGGTCTGGTGCTGAGAAGGCTCCTCCCTCCACGCCCCCCCCCCCACCACGCTGGGAAGTGGTGGCTGGGAAGTGGTGGCGGGTTTAATGTCATTACACTGTGGTGGGGGGGGGGGGAGTGGCAGGTACCGTTAGACTAGTGAGATTCAAATGTCTGGGACCTGCTGCCCAACACCCCTGGTTTCCTTCTTTGCTTCCCTGCCCAGTAGTGCTGAGCGCCCCCCACATAGTCCTAACTGAAAGGAACTTGGGGGGAAGAGAATCGCACCTCAAACTGGAGGTAGGCCTCCCACCCCACCCACCATCCTGTGTCCCCCAGCCCCCCTGCATCCCCTAACCCCCGCCCCCCACTCCACCTGCAGCAGCCTCCTCAGCAGCCCTGTCCTCCTGTCCTGGCAGAGATTTATCACACCACCTCTGACGGGCCCCCTGCACCTGAAGTCCAGGACCGCCTGATGGTGCCAGCAGGCGTCTCGGAGCTGGAGACGGTGCAGACTCTGCTGGAGCATCACAGGAACGTGGTCAAGACCCTCCCCTCGGACCCCCACATCCTGACGGGCATCGGTGCTGCCCAGCCGCGCGTCGACGTTCCCTACCAGGGTGAGCACAGGCCGGCAGCGGGGCTCACCCGCGCGGCGATCTTCCTCATCCCACGGTCACGTACTCTGGCGGCGCCCGACGTCCAGGACGTGCCTGGGACCCCGGGAGTCCCTGAGGGGTCAGGTCCCTGGGGCGCCCACTCGGAGATCCAGGGATAACCTCGTACATTCTGTGCGGTGGGCAGATTTGACCATGAGGGGCGGGGTGAGGAGCAGCGAGGGCGAGGGACGCAGTGGGAGGGACCAGCAGCACGCACGTTCCGCCCTCAGGGTGAGAGGGAGGGAGAGACAGTCTATAAAAACTAAAATACAGTAACAAAATCCGCCCACCACCACGGAGATCAAAAAGCGACAGCGCAACTCAGGTGTCATGAGTCCATTTAAAAACCGGCTGAAGTGGGAAGATGTTGGGGGGAGACCACTGAGCCCCCAAACTTATGGGGCTCAACGGTCCCTTCTCCTGCCCTGGTGACCTGTGTTCCCGTCCCCACCACGTGCCCGCCGTGCTGTCTTTGGCAATTCTCTGAACCCCACAGAGCCTCAGTGTTGCCAGCCCTAACATGCAGCCCGAGTCCTGCCTCCGCGCCCCCCCACCCCGGACTGGGGGACAGTGACAGGGGTCCTGCCCGTCAGGTCTCCGAGGGGGCCAGCTCAGCGCACCTCAGCATCTGAGGGGCACATCTTTTCGGCACACATCTGACACCGGGGCTCCCTGCGACACGGATCTCGGCCTTGCCCTCGGGACGCCGAAGTCCCCGCGGAGCACTGGCAGGAGGGCTCTGCTTGGGCCGAGGGTGTCGTCCAGCACGCTCACTTCCGCCCGAGGCACTGATGGTTTCAGGTGGTACTTAAAATAAGACCTGTGCGGCCTTTGTGGGGACACAGCCACTTCCTGGAGCGGCAGTTCTCGTTGGTCCTGGGCAGTCTGTTCAGGGGCATTATCAGGCCAGGTGCCATCGCCAGGTGCCATCGCCAGGACCCCTGGGTTCAAATCTACGGGAAGAGAAATCCCCCATGTGGCTGAGAGGCTGGGCAAGACTGCTTTTAATTAAATTTAAAAGTTCATGCAATCGTTCACAAAGGGTTCATGCCTAGAATGGTAAATAAAAATGTGAGTGTCAGAATATATTATTATTAATTAATAATTCAGAGAGAGAAATAGAAAAATTGGAATGTAAAATTCTGTTGTGTTTTTTTTTCCCATCACTCCACAGTGCATCCAGCAAACGCCTGTTTTTAAAAAAGAATAATTAGATGTTGAGACTGTCTGGAGGATCATTACTTCTAATTAACCTAGTTATTTACTGTAAACTAAGCACCGTTTGCGAGCAGGCTGCTTTGCCGGCATTACTGGTTCTCAGATGTGCCGACCCTGGACGGTCTGAGAATGAAGAGACCCTTGCTCGGAGCGCTTCCTCGGGGCTGTTCCCCCTGGCGGAGGCCGCCCGGGCAGCCGTGGGCTGGGGGAGTGGCCCCCGTCCCGCCAGCCCTCTGCAAGGGGGACGAGGATACCTCAGCCCTCCTGGGACCGCAGCAGACCGAGTGAGTCAGAGCGTGCCTGCAGTTAGCACGTGCTCACGATGCTGACGAGGGTGATCACAGCCGTGCACAGTCCATTAACCCACCTGCGCCTTCTGTTCTAAAAATGAGGGGAATTGTGGTTTCTCTAATGATCTTGCCAATTAAAAGAAAAAAAACCACAAAGATTTGAGAGATCCAGATCTGCACAATGAACCTGTTCTCCTGGTTCTCAGTTTTGTCCCTCTCCCCGCCAGCAGGGGACACTGGGCAGCGTCTGGAGACATTTGTGGTCGTCACAACCTGAGAGGTACCACTGGCACCTGTGGGGGAGGCTAGAGATGCCTCTCAAACCCTGCGATGCACAGGACTGGCCCCACAGCCAGGAACCAGCTGGTCCCAAATGTCAGGAGTGCGACGTAGCCATCAAAAATTTTAAAGGTGTCTCTGTCAGTGAAATCTCTGGGACCAACGGCTTGTACCGTGAGGCCTGCTGCTTTAAGTCATTCCTGATCATCTGAGATATGGGGAACACCAGGCAGATGCCGTGTGTACACTAAACGTGAGAAAAGCAAGTTTCTCCTCTGCTCCTGGCTGGCAGAAACTCGGGGTCAACGTGGAAAGTGGGAGGGGGTAAGACCTTTAGAAGCTGGGCAGCCCCTGAAAAGTTTTCGAGTTGGGAAGTAACAAAACAACAAACAACTTGAACAGCTACCATGGGCCAGGTCCTGTATTAAGTTCATTACCCAGGTTAACTTAGTCTTATTGCTGCCCCCTGTTTTTGCAGATGAGGAAGCTGAGGCTCAGAGAAGGTAAGTGACTCCCCCAAGGACACACAGTGAGGGGCACTGTGGGAGTCCAACCGAGGCTAAGTCTAAAGCAGCACTCTTAACCTTGCACACAGGAGCAGGACTCGACTCTTGCGTGGGCAGCCCCGTCGCCGTTTGGACTGGCCAGCAGGAGCAGCTAACCCCCTCAAGAGTAGAGCCGAGGAAAGGGCTGCCCAGTCCCCTGGGGCTGAGAAGTAGCCCCCAGCTCAGGTCTCCAGGCATGGGGAGTGATTCATACGTCTGCCTTGGCTGGATGCCCCGCCCTCCAATGGGCAGTGCCAGTGCTTTCGTTAGAGATGCCGTGTCCTGGCCAGGTGGCTCGGTTGGTTGGAACGTCATCTCGGGCACCAAAAGGCCGCAGGTGCAGTCCCTGCTTGGGACGTGTGTGGGAGGCAGCCGGTTGGTGTTTCTCTCTAACATCGATCTCTCAAGTCAGTACACATACCCTCGAGTGAGGAAGGGAGAGAGAGAGGGGGGCTGTGCTCCCCAGAAGCCTTTCTAGACACACTTCAGTGCCTGGCCCAGCAGACTTCGGGAGTCCGAGTGGCTCGGAAATGCGGGGTCTGCAGTGTGCCCGGCACGTGGCCCCGCAGGCTCTGTTCACATACAGCAGCCTTGCCTCCCACAGGAGGTTTCCGTCCCGTGACCAGTGATGCCAGGTCCAGCTGTATCTGCGGTCTCGGTAGACGGCCATGGGCTGGGAGGCAGGAAAGGAGGGCTCCTCCGGGCTGCTCTTGTCGCATGGGGCGCGGCTCTCGCCAGTGTGTAACTCTCTGGTTCCCATTCTTGTCAAGCCTGGAACTAACCCCGGGAGGCTTGCAAATCCTAAACACAGAAAGGAAAACACCGCCCCCAGGCCCACAGGCGTGAGAGTCACCCTGCCTCTCACAGAGGTGTCCGTTCCCTTCACTTATATAAACACTGGGTGGGGGGTTGGCACCAGGGATGTAGAGCGGCAATCTTACTTCACCACACTTTTCTTTTTTAAAATGTTCCCTGGCAGAAAGAGAGCATTTGGGAAGATGGTGGCGTAGGTAAATGGGGTGCTCGAATCCTCCCACAACCACATCAAAATCACAACCGAACTACAGAATGGCCATCATTCAGAACCACCTGTAATCTGGCTGAATGTAAGTCCTACAACCAGGAGTTTAAAGCAGCAGCCACGTGGAGACCGGCAGGAGGGGCGGATGGGGACTGGGCTGGTCCCGTGCCCGGCACGGCAGATGAAAACCGGGAGGGACGTTCCAGCTGCTGCGGTGCCCCCTGCGGAGCCAGGGCTCCAGGCCCCAGCCCAGAGTTCCGGTGCGGGGAAGAGAAGTTCCCGTTACTTCTTGCTGTAAAAACCAGCGGAGACTGAGGCAGAGGGAGACGGAGGGCCTCTGAGGTCCCAGGCAGTCCCTCTAAAAGGGCCCCTGCCCAGACTTCTTGGGACTGACTCCCTCTGAGCTCCAGCTGTGGGGCAGCAGCTTGAAAGCAGCCAGGGACATGTGGGGATGGCCGCAGTGTCTGGCCCCAGGGTGAGAGCTGGGGGGGCAGCTTTCCCCCAGATGGAGTGCTGGCACAGGCCCCCATTCCTCCCCCACAAAGGCAGCAGGCGGGCACCACGTCTGAGTCTCCATCAACCTGGCTTACACTGTTCACCAAGCCCTGGTGGTTCCCAGAGACTCCGCTCCACCCAACTTTCGGGCCCACTCAAGGTGTTTCCAGTGGCTTTTCCATACAGACAGCTTGTCTTGGTTCACGCTTCGGACTTTCCTAACATCTCTCAAGCAAGTAGCCTCTGGCTCAGCAAGCCATATAGGTCTTGCTAAGTGACCCCAGGCCTGGCACTAGTGGCGGCTGGCCTTGGTTCACAGCTTGGCCTCATCTGGGCACCTCTAAGCCCAGCACAAGTAGCAGGCATCTGCGGACTGCTCTGTAGCTCATGCCAGGTGGCCCCGGGCAGGGCCCAGGTGGTGCTGACCTTGGCCTGCACCTCCCAGGAGATCTCGTAGCCAGCATGCCAGAGGACAGCTTCAGACCACATCAAAGCATCACCCAACCGCCCCCATGGGGGACACACCCAAGGGGTGGGCTCAGCAAGTTCCAGAGGCCCCCTGAAGTAAGCCCTGCTCTGTGGGGTGGGCCCTGCACAGGTGATCCTCCAAGGTCACAGCCAGTCCTTAAGCCAGTTGGCCTGGGGGTAAATCCCTCTCATTGATGTGCCAACAGCAATCAAGCCTCAACTACAGGAGGAGGGTGGACACAGCCCACACAGCGGCTGTGCCTCAAGGGCCCAGCTCAGGTGAAAGGGGAGGTGGTGCCACTAGACCCTACAGGACACCTACTACATAAGGCCACTCTACTGAGGCCAGGAGATGGAGCCGCTCTACCTAATACTAGAAACAAACACAGGGAGGCTGCCAAAATGAGGAGACAAGGAAACATGTCCCAAGTGAAAGAACAAAACAAAACTCCAGAAAAAGAACTAAACTATTCGGAAAAATGACAGAAAACCTCTCTAACCCAGTGAAAGAAATAGACATATAAGTTCAGGAAGTGCAGAGTCCCAAAGATGGACCCAAAGAGGCCCACACCAAGACACATCATAATTAAAATGCAAAGGTTAAAGACAAAGAATCTTAAAAGCAGTAAGAGAAAAGCAGTTAGTTTAGTTACCTTCAAGCGAGATCCCATAAGACTGTCAGGTGAAACTTTGCAGGCCACAGGGCATGGCAAGAAATATTCAAAGTGATGAAAAGCAAGAACCTACAACCAAGATTACCCAGCAAAGCTGTCATTTAGAATAGAAGGGTATATAAAGAGCTTCCCAGACATGAAAAAGCAAAAGGAGTTTATCACCACCAAACCAGTATTATAGGAAATATTAAAGGGCCTTCTTTAAGGAAAAGAAAAAAAGATAAAAAATATGAACAATAAAGGGGCAATAAATACATATCAATGACTGAATCTAAAAAACAAAACAAACAAGCAGAACAGAAACAGACTCGTGGGTACAGAGAACATGTTGACATTTGCCAGACGGGTGAAAAAGGTGAAGGGAGTAAGTACAAATGGGTTGTTATGGGACAGGCCTGGGGTCTAAAGAGAGGCATGGGCACACAGTCAGTAATATTCCAGTAAGCACATGTGGTGTCAGACGGGTATGAGATTCCAGCAAGTTATCCTTAGAATCCCTTAGAAAGTTATATAATGTGTGGCCACTGGGGTGTACGCCTGAAACTAATATTGTATGTCAACTGTAATTTAAAAATTTTTAAAAAATGATATGGAAAACTGAAGACAGAAAAGAACATTTGGCATGATTTAGGCAAAATAGTACACAAGGCTTAACATGGAACCATTCCGGGAGCCCGAGGGACACACAGCCACACGGCAACTGCTGGCCGAGCCAGCAGCTGCGAGACGTTGATAAGGATGCTGTCAACGGGATGCAGAGCGGGGGGCAGCGCCCACTGAAAACTTTGGGAAGGCTTGTATTCTAACGGGAAGGAAAAAGAAAAGCAGCATTGTCCTCTGCTTCTCCCCCTCCACCCAGTTCCTTTTGCATGGTCTTCTGTGGCTTCCAAACAATTCCAGATGGGTTCGGACTAATCAGCGCTGTGGCGTTAATCATGCTTCTCTCTTTGCAGACAACGTCCCTGTATTCCAGCCGCGTGGGGAACAGCGACTGGTGTGCTGTGTGCTGTCACTGCATAGGGACGCACAGCTCCCGCCGCCCCTCCATCCTGGAGACTGCTCGCTGAACTATGTGGCTGTCGGGACAGCACTTCGGGGTCTGAGAAAGATGGGGTGGCCTGGCCGCAGAGGCCCTCGGTGGCCCAGGAGAAGGCTGTCCTGTGTTCCTGCTCCCCTTCTCCACCCGTCCCCTCCTACCCCTCCTGCCCACTTCCACCCCCCCTCCCCACCCCCGAAGAAAGCCAGCAGTCACGAGCACTACACTCTAAACCTGCCCAGCAGGCCTCCAGGTGCGCTGCTGCACACAGCACAGCCTGGACAGGCGGGCAGGTCTGCACGTTTATCATGATACATTTTCAGCAGACGGCAGTAAAGTGTCTTGGGAAAGCTTTTTTTGTTTTCTTTTTAAATCATTTGCAGAAAGGCACCTTTTGGGCTCTGGGCAGTGCATGATAAGGCTGCGGCTGGCCCAGCGGGTCGATATCAGGGGCAGAACCCGCTGTGCCCCAAGGCAGTTTCGTGGAGGGGAGGGCTGACCCGGTGAGGATGAAGGAGGGCGTGGACTCCAGAAAACGTCAACAGCCATATTTTCAACATAATTTACTACAGGTATTTGAAGTGTATATAAAACATTTTAGTGCAACATCTTACAAATAGTTCTCCTTTAAAAAAACAAACAAACAAAAATCAACAGCTCTCTACATCATGCATGGGTAGTTTTCTTAGCCCACCCCTTTTTCTTCAACAATTAACGCAGAGAAACCATTGTTTGACAAGAATATGAAAACTTGCTACTGTAACACCCTGGTGAAAGACGGTGTGGTCATATCCGTGTCCTGGGATGGGCCTGGCACAGTGTAGGTGTCATTAATGCGACTTCACAGATGGAGGACGAGCAGAGAGAGTAGGTGGCAGTCTCTCTCCTGGACTCACAGCTCCCGCCGGGAATGTGCAGGGAAGTCTCCCTGCCACTGGAGGGCGCCATTACCATTCATCTGACACCCCACTTCCATAGAAATGGCCCAAGAAGGAAGGTCCTGGGGCTTTTCGTAGAAAGCTGGAAAAGCTCGCCCTTTGAGGGTATCCCCCAACCCCGTAGAAAATACTCAGAAAAAAAAAACTATTAAAATACTGTCTTCGGTTTCTTTCAAATTTCCTGCAACTGCTTCAACCTATTTAATTACGTGGAGCAGTCACCTCTCTGCAGCTTTGAGCGAATTCAAACCGAGTCTCAGGTGCACGCCCCGGTCCCAGACAGCCCTCTGGCATCTTTCCACTCAGACAGAACAACAAGTCTCCTGCCCTCACTGACTTGGTCTGTAAGTCAGCGGTCAGCAATTTCCCACTGGAAGCCCACACCCCTGACGTGAGCAAACAGGGCAAAAGACCGCTCCTTCCACGGCCAGGGAGGCGAATCTGCACCTCTGCCGCACTCACGCAGCACAGCACATGACAATGAGCAAGGGAGGTGCCAGGACTAAGGGGGTGGTGCCGACACTCCCAAGCAGAGCCCTGGTGTAACTGCCAGGAAAGGCAGGCAGGTGGGCTGAGCACCCACCTTGCTTCCCTTCGGGTGCGCAGCAGCGAGGCCTCTGCCGCGCACCCACAGCACCTGCACCCACAGGCCCCGGTCAGGATCAGCACCCACACAGCCCAGGGAGTCCACCGCCTCCCCGGCGTCTGCTCTGTCTCAGAACAGGGTTTCGCAGCGACCTCTCTGATTATGCTCGGTGCCCAGATCCCTGCCGGTTTCTTCTAAACTGGGAAACTCCTCCGGAATTCGAGATAAGAGCTCACAGAGAAAGGGAGATGGCATTCTGGCCGGCAAAATGTGGGAAAAGCAGGGCAAAAAAAATTGTCTTTGTGGAGGGAGCGAACACTAGAGCCAAAGCCGCTTTCGGGGAGCTGAGCTTCTGGCCCCGGCGTGTGAAGTAACAGGGCGACGCTGGCCTTCCTTGCACCTTCCTGGCACCTTGCACCAAATGCACCTTAAGGGGCATTTGAATAAAAAGCCGCCATAAGAATGAACTACTCAATCGCCTAAAACTGCAGACGAGGTCTGAGAATGGGAAGGGGGAAAAACCTACGCAGATGTGTGTTGCTTCCTGCTGAGACTGGGGAGGCAGAGGGTTTTCGAGGGCTGCGTGGCGACCCCCCTGGGTGCTGGTACAGCAGTGAGAAGCTGGGCGAGGTAAATGCTGAGGGAAGACATCCATCTCTTTGAGGAAAATCTAATCAAAAGGAAGAAGAATAACCGGGTCTTCACAGCTCCCGGGGCCGTTGCTGCAGCCTGCTCTCCAATGCGAGGCTGTGCAAAGCCCCTCCGGCCGCTGACTGTCCACTCCTCAGGCAGCTCAGCTGCCACAGCCCCTGGAGCACACATCAGCGTGTGTGACGGCTGCCTGGGCCCATGTGTTCAGCTCGGTGCTGCCCCCTCCCCAGGCTCACTGGCCACCTTCCCTTAAGCGTTTGGCAAAGCACCTTACACCAGAAGCCCACCTGGTCAGTTGCCAGTGAGAGACCGTCCCCACGGGACAGATCAAGCCGACGACGAGCCTTCCCGCCTTCCTCCGCTCACCACTGGCTCGGACCCATCTGCAGGTCAGGAGCTGCTGCGAGAAGGCGCCCTCCGCCCGCTTCGCAAAGCGTGAGCTGTCTGGAGCCTTTGACTTGTTCTCCAAAAAAGTTTTCTTATTTTTTGGCAAGGTTGGGAGGAATCCTATTTTTGCCTCCCTGGCAGACAGGCTGGCCAGGCACCATCTACTCCTAACGGGCTTATGCAGGATTTCTCTCGTACATACAAAGTTCTCTGAAGAAAAAAAAATTCAAGGCTTTCATCTTGACTACAAAGTGGTTCCAACAACTCCAGCTGAGGGAAAAGATAAGATACAAATTGGGCCCACGTTTCACGTAATTTTCAAGTCTCATTAAGAAAGTAAAAAAGGTTTGGACGTATTTTGCTGCATGGGTGGCGTTTTCAACTGTGCAGCAACAAAAGGTCTTGGGAGAGACTCCTTGGCGCGAGGAAGTCCGACCTTCCTTTTCTCATCCGTTGCACGTAAGAGAAATACGTCCACGACATTACAGAATCCAAAAAAGGTAAACCACAGGGATTTAAAGAGAGTCCCTCACAGAGAATGGGAACCCCGTGACTGCCCGTCACTCCCGGTGAGCAGGCGCGGCACCTGGAGCTACTCACTACGTTACCCAGGACAAAAACAAGAGCTAACTCCGCAGGGCGAGGACACCTGCTTGGACACCGCTAGCCCATCAGGACTGCCCCCTGGAGGCGGCAGTCTGCCTCTGCGACTGATGGGGGACTCTGAACTCGACTCAAGTCTGAGCGGTCTGGGAGGGCACGCCGGAGGTCAGAGGTTGGAGGTCGGGGCTGTCCGCCGTCCCATCACAGCACGAGAGGCTGCGCGGGAGCACCTCTGCTCCTGGCAGCAGGCGTCCCCTGGCGGCCTCAGTCTATGGCTCCTGGGTGGATGCTGAGGACAGGGGGCTCCAGGCAAGTGGGGGAGTAGTTAAGGTGCGGCTCTTTGATCCACAGCAGCGGCACCCCATTCTTCCCGTCCGAGTTCTTGCTGGAGCTCCGGCTCTTGAAGCGCACCAGCAGGATGGTGATGATGAGGATGCCAAAGATGGGGAACGGGTAGAAGAAGACGAAGTAGAAGAGCGCGTCGTTGGAGCAGATGGCGGACTGCAGGGAGGAACCTGAGGGGACCGTGGGGGGACAAGACAGGGAGGCTGAGAACCCGACTGTCGGCTTTGGCTCCCGAAGACCGTGCCCAACCCAAGGGAAGCCACATGGCGGGGTGCAAGCCCACCCTCTTTCCTCCACCGCTGCCACGACAGAGGTGGACCCTCCAGTCCTTGGGCTCACAAGAGCCCCTCTCCCAAACACAGCGAGGCTTCCACTTCCCACTGTGAGCCAGTGGCACTGCTGGGAAAGACACACAATAAAGTGTGGTTTATGGATCATGACCTTGACTATGTCTAGGATGGGGTAGAAGCTGACTCTAGTTCAGCCTGAACCTCCTGCCCGGTTCTATTTTACTTGTCCCTTTGCACTTAGGTCTGCTCCAAACGTCCTTCTTCGGGAAGGTAACCTGTTCTCTCCCCACCGACGCCTGAGAGCAGTTTCATGAGAAATGATGCTCGCCTGATTGACGTTATGAATTAAAGTGTCACGTGGACCATTCACAGATGTCCACAGTGTGTCTGTGGCCGCGCAGAGTGCAGGGCTGGCTACTCCTGCACATGGACCAGGATGACGCGTGGTGCCCCCGGCCCAGCCGAGGATGCTCTACGATGCAGGGGGCCCAGCACTTCCTCTGTAAAATGAGGCTGCTGCTGGGTGGTCTCTGTTCAGTGAAGCTCAAGGCACACGAAGGTCCACGGTGGGCAGACAGGGTGTGACCTAAACGCCTTCCCTTACACTTTGGGGCGCTGGGTAAGCACAGGGTTGGGGCTCTGAATAGGTTTAGGTTTTTCCTTCCTTCCTTGCTGCTACTTAGCTGTTCCTCATCACTACTGGGAAAATTTAACATACACTTCCACTTCTCAGATTTTCAAAGGATATGAAATTGCTGACAGTCAACCACTTTTGGCCCACAAAACCTCAATTTCATATGGTCCTACTGAATAAACAGGAGGTAATCAAAAAAAAAAAAAGAAAAACTAACAAAACCCCAAAACTCAGTCAAATTTAACTGGTAAAATGTTTTGAACCAAAAGAAGCAGAAATTTCAAGGAACATTTTTATGTTGGCAACATAAGCTCATTCTACTCTAAAAAACGCCTTTTTTTGTGCGGGCTGCGAACCAAAGTGTTGCAGGTTCGATTCCCAGCCAGGGTACATGCCTGGGTTGCAGGCTGTGACCCCCAGCAACCACACATTGATGTCTGTCTCTCTCTCTCTCTCTCTCTCTCTCTCCCCCCTCCCTCCCCTCTCTAAAAGTAAATAAATAAAATTTTAAAAAAGCCTTTTTTTTAATAAATGGCAAAGCTATTTTTTTTAAGTTTTTTTAAAGATTTTATTCATTTTTATTTTTAGAGAGGGAAGGGAGAGGGAGAGAGAGAGAGAGAGAGAAAAAGAGAGAAACATCAATGTGCAGTTGCTGGGGACCATGGCCTGCAACCCAGGCATGTGCCCTGACTGGGAATCGAACCTGCCACGCTTTGGTTCGCAGCTTGCACTCAATCCACTGAGCTATGCCAGCCAGGGTAAAAATGCCTTTTTTAGTCTGGTGTATGCTACGTTTTGACAGAAGGCCAACCGGAAGCATGCCTTGTTAGAGCAAACGATTTCCTCCAGTCTCTGCTCATGAAGCCCCTCAGTCTGATGGAAACGCTGAGCCCTGGACCTTCCTGTGGCAACAGCGGGCGGTGAGCAGGGCTGCCGCTAAGCTCCCCCAGATGCCCGGCAGCCTCGCTGCCTTGCTGGGCTGATCTTCCCAACCAATGCACCTACAAACCAATGCAACCTGCAAAATGCACCTAAACCTCCTAGTCACCCTCCAAAATAAAAATGACCTCGGGACTTGAGAAAAAGAAAGAATGACTTAATGACCCACTGTCCAAAAGTACAAGGGACGGTGTTTAGGTCACACTCTGTCTGCCCACCGTGGGCGTTGAGCCTCACAGAACACAGAGCTGGCCCAGCAGCCTTATTCCACAGGGAACATGCGGCTCCCAGAGGCCGGGCGGCCGCCGGGGGCTAAGGGAGGTACCTGGGCTTCATTTTCAAAAGTTCTTCCCCTTATGAGTCTGAAACACTTGCTCATTTCCTACAGACAGAAGAGGTGGGACACTCTGAAGAGTATCAAGGTAACATCAACGACATGTGGTCCTCATACAAGGAAATCTTACTAAACCAGAATATGGTGCAGCACCAGTTTACGGAAGAGATCACTCGATGAGCCGTCACTCTGACTCCCGGCCCTGGTCCTTGCACGAGCGGCCAGGGGTCAGGGACGTGGACTGGTGTGCGGACCCTAAATGCCCCTGACAGCTGAGAATGCAGCTCATTAGTCCATAACCGAGCTGTGACTTTTATCTTCCAGGCAGCTGCAACCAAACCGGAAAACTCACCTGTGTCCAGCACCTGGACGCTGATGGGGGCCGACTCCCCCTCCGTCAGCCGGTACCACTCCTTCTGCGGGCTGGGCAGCCACTCCTCCACGCGGCAGGAGTAGTTGCCCGTGTCTCGGGTGCTCGCCTGCAGCACCGTGAGCCTGAAGAGCAGGGCGGACAGCCTCTGGAAGCGAAGCCGGCCCTCCCAGGGGCTGCCCTCTGGGCCAAACACAGCGTCTGGGCCCACGCTCAGCAGGACCATCCGCTCTGCTGGGTCCTCTTCCTCCTCCTCCTCCTCCTCATCCTCCTGTTCCTCCAGGCCAGGGCTGCCCCCTTTCTCCCCAGCTTTAGTCCTCAGGGAGTACCAGCTCACAGCAAAGCGGGAGTCCTGGCTCGAGCGAGACACGACGCTGCAGTCCAGCTGGAACGCGGCCTTCTCAGACACCGTGGCGTTGGGGACCAGCGTGTCCACCTGCAGGGCGGCCTCTGGGAGGACGAGGACGAAGAAGGGAGAAGAGGCTGTGTTAATTCCTCTGCTCGAGAGAAAAACGCAATGCCCATCACTACATACATTATAGCAATATCCACACGACAGACCACTGGGCACTGCTGAGAGGAACGGGGCCGTACTGTGTGTGGAGACATGGAGGAAGATTTGAGAAAAACTACTACTCAGATACAGAACGCTGGCTGTGTGTTCTGTGCCTCACTGCACGCAGAGGCTAATATCTGCACGAGTCATCCGTGGAAGAGTTCACAAGGGGCTGGCCACGTGGTTGCCTGTGGGAATCAGGGGAGGGAAGGACACATTTGCTCTCTGAACCCTTGTAGTGGTTGCATGCTGTCCCCTACAAGTCACACCCACCTGGAACCTCAGCCTGTGACCTGGACTGGAGACAGGGTCTGTGCAGACGTAACTAAGTTAAGAGGAGCCCCAAATCCAAGGACTGAGGTCCTTGTCAGGAAGGAGAGGACACACGGAGACTCACAGAGAGGACTAGTGGAGACGGAGGCGGAGGCTGGTACCACGCAGCTGCAAACCGGGGGCCACAGCGGGGCACCAGGGGCCGGGAGAGGCCAGGAAGGACCCCCCACCCCAGGAACATCAGGGGAGCCGGGCCCCATGACAGCTGGATCTCAGACAGGCGGCTGCCAGAATCGCGCAGGAATGAATTTCTGTGGTTTGAAGCAACCCACGTTTGTGCTGATTTGTGACGGCAGCCCTGGGAAACGAATGCGCCCTTCCAGCCGCGCTGGCGTCTGACCTGTGTGCACGTGGAGGGCTGCCTGCGCCACAGCGAACCCGGCGAGGTAAACACGCGCTGAGGACCCGACAGGAGATCTGCACGGAGCAGGGGCTCCCCTGGCCCTGAGGGGGACGACACAGACAGCGCCTTCCCGACAGAGGGGGTGACGCGGAGCAGCCCTGGAGCGGGGCCCACACAGGTGAGTCGCTGCTCGCAGACTCATTCAGACAGGCCGTCGTCCGTCTCTTTATCTTTTTTCAATGGCTTACCGGGGAAGGTTCTGTGCAAACAATTCAGTCCCTAGCTCCTGAAAGGCTGCTTGTGAAGCGAACGCTTATGAAAGATGCCAGCGTGGCATCAGTAGCAGCGGAGACACCACATCGGATCCTCCTTGGATGGAGCCCAAATCGGAGCACTTCCCAAGTACTTTCCTGGGCTTCCAATGAATTGGCTTCATGTCGCCCACGGGTGAACACAAAGCCGGGTTCCCACTGCTGTTGCAGGGTCCCGCCAAGCCCCTGGACGCCCCCGAGGCCCACCTGGACTCCCAGTGTGCATGGCTGGCGCACGGGGATGGTGGGTGGGGTGGGGGGGGGGAGCGGCAGGATGGAGAACAGGAAATCAGCCCACAGGCGACTCCAAGCCCCTCACTCACTGGCTGGTTCTTCCAGAAAGTACCGCTAACATGGGACCCCAAAGCCACAGAGAGAGAGAAATATTGCAAAGCAAGGGGCAGTCTAGGGCGCTTTTTCCTCCAGAGTCCAGCACAGTGTTCCCCTAGCGACTGGCCGCTGGGCCAAAGGAGGTGGCCCTGAGACAGGCCATGCAACGGCCCCACTGCAGCGGGAGGCCAGCTCCCACCCAGCGGTGCTCCCCACCTCCTCTCCTCTCGCTTCTTCTCGCCTAACTGCTCACACGTTTCCCTGGCCCTTCAGGGGCCTTGTCTGCCATCAGTGACTCAGTACAAGGTTTCTGAATGAAACGAATCTCCACCTTCATTCAACCACCCTCCTCTACACATGCCTCTCTACCGCCTTGAGTCCCTGTGTCTGACGCCTTCCAGAACAGGCCAGCCACCCCCAGGTCAGACCTCACCGCTCTCTCCCTTTCCAGGTGGAAGCCCCAGGAGGGAGTTGCGCTCCGCCCCTCCCCCACGCCACGCTGCCTGCTCCCAGGTTGGCTGACTCCCTGTCAGTCGTCTGATGACTGTGCTTTCCTCTTTTCCCCCATCGTGGAGCCAAATGCAACTGCAAATGTGCTCAGCTCCAATCTCACTGAGGGCCGGAGCCCCGCCCTCATATATTCCATACTATGGTCGACCTTAAGTGATGCTCAGCGACTCTTAACGCAACCCCCGGAGTTACATTATTTCCCGTCTTCTACATGTCCAACTTACACCTCGGAAAAGCACAGCCACGCAACGGATGGCATGCAGCCAGTAGAGGTCACGGAATGCTAGTGAGATTACAGATGTGTTTTTTCTCAAAAACCACACTTTTCCGTGTTCCGAGTGTTTTGGGATGGGCACAGTCAGCTCGTGCACAGTGATGCACCCCAATAACAGCGTCGGTCAGCGACGGGCCCGCAGAGCTGACAGGGGTCCCACTAGGTTCCCAGGGAGCTGGGACGTTCCTACTGCCTCCCGACGTCGTAAGGCTGCACCGCGTCGCATCACTCCCGTGTGCGTGGCCCTGCTGGTGCGAACAAGCCTGCCGTGGGCCAGTCGCACAAAAGTGCAGCACACACAGTCTGCCCAGTACATATGCTTGACAGCGACGATAAATGACTGTGTCGCTGGTTTATGTATTTAATACACTATGCTTTTTATCGTTATGTCACAGTGTACTTTTTCTACTTATAATAAAAGGAGTTTGCTATAAAACAGTATGTCGTATTATGCCTCACCCGTCTCCTATTTACTGTCTCTTGCTTGCGTCATTTTCCCTTGTGCTTCATTTAACCTTGTGCTGTTTTGCACAGAATGCACTGCACAGGCTTGTGACCCGGCAGCAATGGGCCAGACGCCGCCGCCCCAATGGGCATGCGGCAGGCCCCACCGTCTCGGGTGTGTCGGTGCGCTCTGGATGTTCGCCCGGCGCCGAGATCGCCTGATGGCGCCTTGCTCAGAACAACCCCCTGTTGCTGGGTGGCCCTGCCCACTTGGGAAGGCAGGCAGGCAGGCTGGTGATCCAGGCCACTCACCCACCTGAACAGGAGACGCAGGGCTGCAGGCTTAAGGGTCACGCTGGCAGCCCATGCAGTGGCAGCAAGAAGGAGACGGGGGTGGCCGCGTGGCCTGCTCTGACCAGCTGTGTGGCACTGCCCTGCAGGTTTCCGTTCCCTCGGGGAGAAAGCGGACCAGTCGGGGTTGTTGTGAGGACGGGAGGTAAGTCCCCTCACTGTGGCTGGGATGCAGCTGCCACCGCACAAACCTACATCTCCTCCCGCCTCCCCTGAGGCCCCAGCACAGTGACCGGCAAAACAGGCGGGAGCCGGGGGGTGAGAACGAGGGGCATGTTCAGCTGCCAGGTCTCTGCAATTTTACCTGTGGGGGAAGGTGAGCAGCAGTTTCTAGGCAAGGCAGAAAAACGAAAACAGAAAGAGTGCGTGGCAAACGAGGAACTCGGAGTGGAGGTGGTTCCCCCGCCCCTGGTGAAGACACAGGGGAGGAAGGCGGGAACACCCCCTCCTTGCAGCACAGGGCGCAGCATCCCTGAAGCGCATTCTGTGGTGCGTGGGGCCCGAGTATCAGCGGAGCTGCGGCACTCCGACGGGAAAGCTGTTCCGCTCGGACACAGTCACACGATGACAGACGCTTCCCACAGTGCCAACTACACACATGCGGGGCCCTGCGGGCGCTCAGAAAACACACCAGACCGGGCGGTCACACCGACACAGGCCACAGCTCTGTTCCTGCCCCAGGTCCTGGGGGGGCCGCTGAAGTTCTGCACGGAGGAGGGTGAATGATGGCGCGACGGGCAGAGGCCCTGGGAGGGTGGCACCACGCCGCCTCCGTTACGAGTTTAACTGTGTCAGATGATCACACCTGGTCAGCACGCGTGTTCAGGCACGTGGGCGACCAACAGTGAAGGCGAGAAAAGGACAGGCCACATGGGTGGTCGTCAGCACCCGTGAAACTGCCGGGATGTGGGAGAGCAGAGGCGGCCCAGACTTCGCCTTTTCCATAATTTTTCCCTACAGGAAATCCATCAGCTCAGTTTTTCGAACCACATGGCTACTGCATATCCACCACTTGTCTGGGTCTCAGTGCGTTCTTTAAAGGAAAGATATCCTATGCTGTGCAATAATTAATTAACACATTATTCTAGTTAAGAGAAAGAATTACCTGAGGCCAAAGCCAGATGTGCAATTTCCATTCACTAGGGGGAAAAACGTGAGGCAATCCTGAATGGAGACGCAGACGGTAAGTGTGCGTATATTTGACTGCAGACAACGCACTAGTGAACACACTATCTACGCAGTGCATCAAATCTTACTCTCCCGAGGGAGACAGTGCAGGGCATGGCGCCCAGGGACAGGACCCTCACCTGGGCGTGTGACCGCCACGGCTGTCTGCCCAGCGGTGTCCTCTGCCCGCTTGTACCACACGCCACTGGGGCTGGGCAGCCACTCCTCCACGTGGCAGCTGTAGGCACCGCTGTCCTGCACCGCCACGTTCTGAATGGAGAGCCGGTACACGCCGGGCGAAGGGCTCTCCAAGTGCAGGCGCCCCTTCAGGTTGTTCTTGGCCGCCTGCTCTCCGTAGTGGAAGGTGGCGTCGCGGCTCAGGCGGGCCACGGCCTCCCGCTCCGGGTGGTTGGGCTTCCACACGAACCACTCCACCGCCAGCTGGGAGGCCGCGCTGGTGCGGTTCAGGACCACACACTCCAGCTGCACCTGCCGCGTCTCCAGAACCGACAGGTTCCCCTGCGCTTGGCTGAGCTTCAGGCGGCTGTCTGGAGAGGCAAGGAAAGAGACGTCAACAGCAGGACAACCACCGGCCACCTGCACACGCCACTTCCAGGCAGAGGTGAGCGGGCGCCTTCTCAGTGCGGCAGGCGGTAGCACCCAGAGTAGCGGAGACGTTGCTCGGGCACGGACGGCACCCTAGCCACTCTGTGTTCTGGTCGTGTGTCCGAGTGTCTCTGTTTTATTTATTTTCTCAAATTTCTAGTTATTGATTTTAGGGAGAGGGGGAAACATCAATTTGTTGTCCCACTATTTATGCACTCATCGGTTGCTTGTACGTGCCCTGGCCAGGGATCAAACCCACAGCCTTGGTGTGTCAGGGCGACGCTCTAAAAAACTGAGCCACCTGGCCAGGGCTTGGGTGTCTGAGCTTTAAGGGGTTCAGTGCGAGAGTAATGGCTGCCCCTGGATTTGTAACCCTGATCAGTTCAGATGCTTAGCAGAGGACAAGCACCCCGTCTTGTCCTCAACCACTTGTGTAGACGACCGCACACCCCGACGACAGCAGACCACCACGCACACGGCTGACTGGCGTGGGCGGCTGGGAAGGGACAGGAACGGGATGGTGGGAACCCCTCTCCAGGAGAGCGTTTAAGCAAACAACTGACACTGCTGGAGCCAGGGGCTGGAAAATTCAGCCCGTCAGAAGTGTCATCACTGCTGGCACACGCTAATGGCAGGCACAGCATCTTATAAAAGGCCCTAATGAGCAAGTCCGGACCAGAGGCATCAGAAAGCTATGGAGCAGTAAGCACATGGAGGCTCCCCAGGAAGGGCGCGTCCTGAGCCACATCCCGGGAAGGGGAAGGCCGTGCAATGTTACTTTTCACGCTGCAAAAGTGCCAGAACATTTTATAGTGCACGTGATTGCTTTTGCAATTAAAAGGTAAAAAAGTTAGTAACAACAGAAAAAGTATTTTAAATAACCTGTCTCCTCAAAAAGACACATACATACACATCCACACACAGGTTGTCTCTGGGTTGAGAGATTATTTTCTTCTTTGTGCTTCTGTATTTTCCAAAAGCTCTAGAGTGTATTCTTTCTCAACAGAAAAAGGGGAGCGGGGGGGAGAACTAGAAGCAGGAGGGAAAAACAAACAAACAAAAAAAGAGAAAAACATACAAACAACAGTCTCAACAGAGGAGGGGAGGTGCTGCGGTAATCGGGGTGCTGGAGTGCCGCGCCTTCTGCACAGGACCGCGCTCATGCGTTGGGACCAGAACCCTCTCGCCCCCCTGCACCACCCCCCTCTGCCTGGTTGAAACCCGCCTTCCAGATGGGGAACCCCTTGATCAAGTTAGGGCCCAACGAGAATCTCTCGGTTTCGGGAGAGATCAAATGAGACGAGAAAAGAGAAAGGACGGACGGTTACGAAGAGGAACCCGGGAGGGCAGCGACTGTGTTCTCAGGAGGGAACGTGATTAGAACTGAGAAGAGACAGAGCGACTGAAACCCAAAGACGTGTGTGGGCAGAGCAGCAACCGTCCTGTCTGAAAGCCCCCGGGACTGGCCTGCAGGCAGGGCGCAGGGCACGGGAATCCCCGACAGGATGCACTCAGACCAGAGCTTTTCTGCGCGCCCGCCCGCAGGAGGGGGAGCGAGGAATGCCACTGCGCAGCCGGCGGGGCGGCTTTAGGGATACGACATCCGCGGAATAGCAGGGGGCGCTGCGTTTGGCATGGGCCAGGCCACATCTGGACTTCACACCTGGTTCCACTTGCTTCCTGAACAGGAAGCTCACTGAGGCCACCTGGGGGACAAGTCGTGGGGGCAGAATGGTGACGAAAACGAAGCACCTGGGCTCACTCCGGGAGCCTCACGTCCGGCGGAGGAGACAGACCACAGACACAGAAGTAAGGAAAAGTGATGCATGGTAACTGACCGTAAATGAACTTCCGGAAGCGTGGACAGGCAGAAGTGCTGTGACTACCTGCATGTGAAGAGCTAACTGCACAGAATGCCACGCGGTGTTACGGGACGGGCAAGGGGACAGAGAGTGACTAGAATGCCGTTTTAGTTAACGAGAGCTAGGCACGGCTCTCTGAGGAAGAATGAGATACACGAGCGTCTGTGGTCAACATATTCCAGGCTAAGAGAACAGTCAAAGACCCTGGGGTGTTCAAGGAAAGCACCCATTCGTTCCTCATTCAACCAATGTTTATTAAGGGGCCACAGGGCAGTGGCTGAAGATACAAAGACACATCCCTGTCCTCGAAGTGCTACAGTAGAGTGGGGAGAAAATGCAAGCACAACATCATTATGCTGTGTGTTTTATAAGAAAGCCCTGGTGACACGGGAGATATCAGGGAAGGCTTCCTGGAGGTGGTGCTGAGTGAAGTCTTGGGGATGGGGTGCACACAGGGGAGAAGCAAGAAAGGGGCATTCCAGGCAGCGATGGCAGCGTAAGCAAAGGCGTGGAGATGGGACTGAGGCCGGCAAAGCAGCACCCGCCGCCCTTCCAGGAGGACAGGCAGTGACAACACACTGTAGAGTGGGCAGGGGTGAGGATGGAGAGGGGGCTTAGGGCCACGTTATGTGAGAGATTCAAGAGCTGTGTTAACAAGGAGAGGGAGAGACTGACACGGCACACAGAGGCCCCACCACAGGCTGTCACGTGTCGTTAACGACAGGGATGCGGTCCGAGGCGGTTCTGTTATTGTGCACACACCTCGACGGCACAGCCTCCTACGCACCTCAGCCGCATGTTACTGTACTCAATCCCGTGGGCGACGCTAAGACAACGGTGAGTGTCTGTGTGTCTAAACACGGAAAAGGACAGTAAAAACGAAAGACCAAACAAGGTGCACACCTGTGCGGGCACACACTTGTGCAGGCACACACCGTGAATGGAGCTCGCAGGACGGGAAGCTGCTCTGGGTGAGTCGGCGAGCGAGTGTGAGGGCCTGGGCGTTCAAAGGCCGGTGGCTGGCTGACGGGGATGTAAGCTGCACTCTCAAAATTGAGGTGCTGTGAGCAAGAGTGAATCTATGCCAAGCCCCACAGAAATGGCTCCTGTCACAGAAAAAGATCCCCCTGACCACATATCCTTGCATTTCTTACAGGAAATTCAGCTCCATTGTAATCTTGTGGGGCCTGTCAATGGTGTGGTCCTCTGTATGCTAAAACACCGTTATGCGTGCATGACTGGATCAGAAAGGACGGGACCCAGATCCCCCTCCTGGTTTGTTCTAGGGGCAGATCTGAAGTCTGAGAGGGAGATTACGGGGTGGGGAACTTGGTGCCCCAAGCGGAGCTGAGCCCTGGAGTGTGGTGCGCTCTCCTGCTGTGGGGCACCCAGCAGAGGGCAGGTGCAGCCTGCCAGGGTCTGCACCCATGGGGTCTGAAGGGGCCGGGTGGTAGCTTAGTCTGGAGACAGGACGCATTCACTCTGGGCCGGCGACAGGGGGTACAGAGGAGGGGGAGCAGATGCGGGGCTGCAGAACACGCCGTCTAGGCAGGAATCCTGGGTTTAGAGCAACTATCAGCCCAAGATCCAGGGCACAAACTGCAAACCCGAAAAAGGGCCAGGCTTCGCCAGAATTCTTCCTGGCCACTTCCTGCCAATCACAACGCCCCACAGGCCTCCCCCTGGTGAAGACGCCGTTCACACAGCTGAGCTGAGGAAGGCGAGTTTGCCATCATCAGTGCCGGGACCCCTTACAGGCACAGCGGGCGGCTCACAGCAGCCGAGCACAAGGATCTGTGTGCTGCGCCCCGGCCAGTGTGGACCCCACAGAGTCCCCTGCGGACAGCTACACTAAACCCGCTGGCCGGGAAGGCCACGCCCCTGAGCTTACCTGGCTGCTTCACTGTCACCTCTGTGCGCCCCGAAACCTCCTCTGCCAGCTTGTACCAAGCATAGTTGGGGCTCAGCAGCCACTCCTCCACGTGGCAGTAGTAGCTGCCACTGTCGCTGACCTCGGCTCTCTGGACGGTGAGGCTGAACAGGCCGCCGGTCGCGTGCCTCTCGAACTGGAGCCTGGCTCTCAGGCCCTCCTCCTCGGCGTAGGTGCCGTACTCGAAGGCGGAGTTGTGCGTGGTTTTGAGGATGAGCTTGCCGTCGGCGTCCGAGGGCTTGTGCACGTACCAGAGCACCGCGAAGTGGGAGTTCTGGCTGGTCTGTGACTTCACGGAGCAGTTCAGCTGGATGGGCCTGTTCTCCACCAGCGTGAGGGTCCTCTTGGACTTGCTCACCTGCAGCTTTGTCACTGCAGAGGAAAGGGGGCAGCTCAGCAGAGTTGTCCCACGGCCCTGGATGCACAGCCCGTCCCACACCTCCCACCTCCAGGCCCCCAGTCCGGTCTTGTCCCGAGCGGTTCCCAGAGGACCATGGGATGGGGGTGGCTTCCTCCAAAGCATGGCTCGGGGAGAGCAAAGCTGCATGCAGCTGGCTTCACCCGCAACATCCCTCCCCGTGCCTGCTCCTCGCCCGGCCGCTTAGGCCCTCACCATCTCTCCCTGCCTCCTGGCTGTGTGCGCCCCCACCCCCCGGGCCTCACACGGCCTCCAGGGGGATCCAGCTAAAGCACAAATCTGCCCACTTCATCTCCCTGCTTGAAAAGTTTAATGGTTCCCAGTTGCCTTTAGGTTATAAAGAAAAACCATTCCTCTTCGCAGCACAAAGTGCTTCCAGGAGCAGTCTGAACTCATCTCCCAGGAGTCGCTCCTCAGGCCCCACAGCCCGGGCAGTGTCCCCCTGAGCTGTGGTCCCTGCTCGGCTGTGCTCTCTGCCTGTCTCCTCTGCCACCGCCCCTCCGACCCTTCTCTCCACTCAGCCAACAGCCCCGGCCTCCACCCCTTCCCACCGGGCCGCACACACCGCCTCTGAGCTTCTGTCCGCCCTCTGTGTATCTTCAGGCCACCTGCCTCCTCTCTCCTCCATTCTGGCCTGTGAGATCCCGAGGGCAGAGGTCAAGCTTCCTCCGCAACTATTTAGAGTGCGTCCACCCCGTCCCCTCATGACGCTAAGGCGCTCAGGCGACAGTCCTGCCCGGAGGACACTGCACCCCCCGGGGCTGGGCACAGTGCCTGGGCGTCGGGAAGTGCTCGGTCAGTGTCCGCTCAGTAAGTGCGGGAGTGGGTGAGTGAATGCCAGCCCCCAGGAGAACCACGGTCAGCAGGCGGCTAGAGGATGGGGTGATTGTCCTGGGGGGGCAGGGGAACAGACTGGGAAGAAAGTGACCAGCAGCGAGACAGAACAGAGACAACTCCAGCCTCCCCTTCCCCTCGCTGTCCTGCTCCGGAACTGAGAGGGCAGACTCCAGAGTGAACTTTACCTGCCAGTTAATGAGTGAGCTCACCCTCAAAGTGGCAACAAGCCACCTTCTAATGAAACACATTTCACCAAGGTAATTTGAGGTCACGCCCACTCCATCATTACTACACGTGGCTCTGCTTCCCTCTACCCAGCACCCCCTACTGAACAAGACACAATCCCAAGATCCTCTTAGGAAGCTGACAGTAAAAGCATCATTCCCCCTCCATGCCTCTTCACACTTGGCTTTTCGAGACCAAAGAAACCCAGGGCCAGCCCTCGACAGGGAGGGGGCACCGGGCTTCCTTCTCTGGGCCTGCCTGGCCCGTCTCCTGTACTCCTGCTGGTCAATCTCTGGGTCCAGACCGAGCCCTGAGCCCGCTGGTCATGCCTGGGCCTCCTCTGCCGGCGCAGGCTGCTGGCTCACCTACAGCTAGTGTGGAAACACAGCATTAAGGCCAGTGACTCCAGGACAAACCCTCTGAATGGCCGAGAGGGGTCAGCCAGCTGAGGCGTGGCCAGACCCGACGCCCAGCACAATTACTGCAAAAGCTACTCTAAGGACCCATGTCAGTGAAGGACACACCCTGTAAATCAGGAGACACTCCTCACAAGGGGCTGCTGAATGCACAGACCTGCAGACCTTCCCCAGACTCTGAGGACGCAGCCCGCACCCACATGAAAGAAACCCCACACCCCACGCCCCACCCACTTGATTCATCTTTTCTGTGAACAAGCCCCATCTCCTGCCTCATCCCTTCTTGAGACACAGAGGCCTCCGGGGCACATTGGGGTCGAGGGTGGGGTTTACCAGTAAATTCTGAGCTCTAGAAACTCAATTCCCATCAGCTTGCCCATCCGAGTTCCTATAATACTTGGAACAACCGCCCCCTTTCATTCCCTTCCAAGCCAATTCACCGCATGCAAATCTCTCTATCAGTGCAAATGACACCACCTGAAATGTCTGGGCCTGGGCCAAAAAAACTAGGTTGTTCTGTGTAGGGCAGAAAAAGCTTCAAAATGTATTATTAATTGGGGCCAGATTATTTTTGCAACCGTTCCTAAGGAAACCTCGATTGCTATAGTAACTGCATATGTTAAACTGGAACCCTATGACTAGACTTCAGTTTGGTCACGTGGTCTGAGGACAAGAATCCAGGGAAATGTTTCAAAGCATTTCCATTTTTATTTTCCTTCTCATGTCAAAATATTGTGAAGTGTTGAAAAGCCTGAAAGAGAGAGGCATTTTTGAAACTCGGAGCATGCCTGGCGGGTGGGCGAGGGGTCAGCTCCTAGTCCACACTCTGAATTTCCTCCCACGCCTCAAGGTCAGGGGGACCTTTCCCGAAGCCCAGGCGAGACCGCAGGCCCCATGACTGATTAGGGAGCACTGTTCCGTCCTGCCCAGCGCTGCCCCCAGTGGTGTGCGGCAGGTCTGCGCCACCTTCCTTCCCCCTAAGGGAGCCCTGCCCCCTTAAGGTCCACAGGGAGTTTCTTCTGGAAGATCAGAACAATCCCAGTGTCTACCTTACATCACACGAGTGTGTGCAGATGAGCAACAGTCTCTAGAGAGAGCTTGGCACAGAGCCTGGTATATATCGACACGCAGTACTCTTTTACTGTGCCCACTCCTCTTTGGTTTGTGGGCTCAGTCCCATGTTCAAAGCACGACATTGGACTGAGCACTGTCAAGGGTGAGTGACACACTTCCCAGTAAAACTGCTGTCCACAGACCTGCAGCATCGGTGTCAAGCACTGGGGACACCAGGGAGCTTCTCAGCAACACAGACTGGGAGGCGCCCTGTTCAGATCCCCTGAACGAGAGTCTGCCTTTCATTGACCAGGATCCCCAGGCGACGCGTGTGCACTGGGAAGCCGGAGAAACCTTGGACGTAGTTGTGGTGAGCGAATGCACTCACCGAGGCTTCACGGTTGGAAGCAAAGGGACAAGAGCTGAGGACCGAGGCCTGAGGAACACCGCCCCCGCCCCCTGCCCCCCCAGGGGCTGTGGAACAACGGGAGGGAGGACCAGGCAGAAGAAGGCTGAGAGGCTGGGCTGAGGCCCCTTCTGGGAGCGCATCTTTACCACTCCTGGCCCCGCTGCCCCGTGTGAGGAAGGGCCCTTCCGCCTGCACCTGGAGGTTCCTCCCCAGGCCTCCTGAGGGAACATGGGGAATGGTGGGTTCTGCGACTCTGTCACCACACGGACCAGGGGGCTGACGGTGAGACGGAGGAACCTGCAGCGGAGCAGGGCAGCTGCTCCCTCGGGCGACCTCCCCACCGGGGGTGCCGCCCTGTGTGTGCTCGGCTCCCTGGAAATGCACTTGCACTTCCTCCGTCAGGGAGGGATCCCCCGACCCCGCTGGAGCTGTGACACGCTGCCCAGCACTGGTGTTCACGTTTTTCCATCCGATGCCATCGTATCTGCCTCCTCCTGCCCCAGCATGGGTGTGCGAGGGAGGAGTCTGGGAGCCCCACGGGTGGAGGACCGGGTCCAAGGGAGAGAGGACGGGCTGAGGGGGGGCTCCTTTCACTTGTCTTGACTTAGCATCTACCCTTCTCCCAGGGCCACCGCGACTCCCGGCCCAGATGAGCCCTGCCCGGCCCCAAGCTCATCCCGACGTCACCACAGCTCAGAGCGAGGGAGTGCAACTGAGCACCATTTCGCTCTAAAGCAACCCCCTCTTAAAAAAATGTTTAATTTTAATTTTTAAATTCTTTTCTCTTCTGTATTCCTGTGCGCCCAGCCCCCTCCCCTTCGACAACCATCAGCTTGTTCTTTATATCTGTATGTGTTTCTGTTTTATTCTGGTGACACTTTTTTTAAGGTCCCACATATAAGTGACATCAGCAGTATTTGTCTTTCCCCGTCTGACTTATGACATGCCACTTCGCAGCACATTCCCGAGGTCTGTCCGTGTTGCTACGAGCGGCGAGACTTCATCCCTTCTTGTGGCCGAGTCCCACTGCACTGCTCATACAGCCACATCTTCTTGCCTCCATTCGCCTATCAGCGGGCACCCGGGCTGCGTTTCCGTCTTGGCTCTTGTACATAACAATGTGGTGCACACTGGGACACAGACCAGTGTTCTCGTTCTCCCTGGATGAACACCCAGCAGGGGGATTGCTGGACCAAACAGCGGCCCTGTGTTACATTTTTCCAGGAGTTTCCACTCTGCCTGCACTAACGTACAACTCACTGACAGCGTGGGGGGTTCCCTGTTCCCCCTCGGCCACACTTGTTAGTCACTGATTTACTCACAACGGTCCTTTTCCGAAGGCCTTCTCTTTCCTACTAAGTAACGTGCATCTGAAGGGCGGAGGCTGTGACCCAACCACCTGCTAATCAATTTAATAAATGAATGACTGAATAAATACGTGATTAATGTTTTCTGGGGGGTATGGGAATGTAAAGGAAAGGCATTTAATCCCGATTGCGACAGGAGGGAGTGACCTTTTCAAAAAGTATGTGACATCCGAGCCAAGCCCTGAAAAACAAATTGAGTAGGTGGCCCCCAGGCGGAGGAGGACACCGCGAGGGCACCCGGGAGAGAGGGGACAGGTGAGCCAAGGCGAGACCTCTCTGCGCGCCCCTTCCGGGGTGCGGCAGGAGGCCACGTGCAGCAGATGAAGTCGGAAAGGCACGCCTCGGCCAGGCTGCGCGGGGCCCGGCATGCCGTCGGGATCCCACTGACTGTCCCCCTCCGGGAGCCGTCGGCCGCTGTCCCTGCAGCACTGCTGTGGCCTGGGGACTTACAGCCCCGCATCCTTAGCACTGCCCTCCGCCCCCTGCTCTGCTTTCTCCCCACAACCGCGCCCCATTTAAGGCCCTAATGATCTCTTTTCAGACCTTACACTTGGCCTGAATCCCAGTGTCTCGGCCTCCAGCCTCGGCCTCCGCCTGGGGGAGCTCCCCAAGCTGGGAAGAGGAGCCTGCCACTCCCGGCTTACAGC